CTCTGAAAGTTTTGAATTGAAAACTGATTTGGAGACCCTCATCTCCCAACATGGAGTCCCATATCCGATTTTAAACTGAAGTCATTTGGAAAATAAGACTTAGGTTATAGAAATTCGTTTTATAGACAAGTTAGCTAGACTGTTCTTATTGCCAAGTACTGATATTTATTTTTTCAGCATTAATTTCTGTCTTGAGATTGTTGCCTTAATTCGAATTTATCCGATTTCTGAAGACTTTAGCCATTTTCTTTTAAAGTAAACTAATCCAGGGTGGAATTGTATTTCTTTTCGCTAGGTTTATACAGTCTCTGAGCCACAGCTGCAGACAAAAAGTGGCATGCACTCACAGGGTCACATTTTGGTATTACAACCTGGGGCAATCATTAAAAGTGTTAGATTGCACCATGAAAGTTGGTCCTAATTTGACCTGATAGTGGACACCTATGTAAAGTGAATTGTGACAGTAACTGTTACAGCAGCTGGGCACAAAGAGATTATTGATCTCACACAAGAATCATGAAAATTCTTTAGTGCTTTCCTCAAAGCCCACGAATCATTTGCATCTATATGGCAGGCATCATTGCGTGTGAACTCCTTGACTTGCAGATTGGAGTATTCACTGAGAATCACACTTCATTCTGAGATGTTTAACCCCCTAGTTCCATTAGATGAGAAATGTCATTCTCCAGGGAACCTCACCTCCACACTTTCCCAATATACATACTTTCGAAAGCCGCCTCATATGTGTCATGGGGTCAGATAATCTGTATTTCAAAATGACATGAAATAACAGCTGGTCAGCTGTCTGCACCAGTCCACTTGGTTTTAGATGAGATTACGTTACCACATGGATTTCTTTATTGTGAACATAAGATACAGAAATAGTAGAAATCTGTAACACCAATGTTTATTATCTATTTGTCTTTATTTTAACAGTTGTGTTTCCCTTTGGACAAACTGTACGTTTTGTGGGCTGAAGGGATGAGGAGACAAGATGTGAGAGAAACGAATGAAGTACAAGGTTTTATTAAGTTTATCCTCAGGAATAAAAGGGCAAAGACTGTGAGGAATGCATAAGACTTTGGACAGTTTCTGACTTTGTTAGTTATCTGTTACTCTCTCATTTGTTTTTCTTACAGTGATTATCAGTAGAAACCTTAAAAAGTTAGACATCCTATGTTTTCATTTTAGCTAAGAGAAGCAAGAAGAAGCTTTAGGGAGATAAAAGGATCTCCCAAAATAGAGTAGATGATAGTTTTTAAAAAGTAAGGAAAGCAAGCTGAATGCCTAGGAGCCCAGCATGGAGTGGGCCCCATGCTAAGAAGTGCCCCTGGATTTAGGCCTGTCAGGAATTCTATAGATAAAATTTCCACGTTATAGAAGAATAAACTAGATAACCTCAAAACTTTCTTCCAAATCTAATATTTTTCACATTCATCATATCTAAAAAAAAAATGGTAGAAATTGCTTCCATAAGAGATTTAAAGATAAATTCTGTAGTTTGGGTGAAAATTACAATATAGTAGTTGCCAATATTTTTCCATTTATGTCATAATTGAAATTTCAGCAATAAGAGTTCTTGGAATTAAAGTGGTGGTTTTCTTTTTTAGTATTTAATCATTTTAATGGGGCTAGTTTACGTAAAATAGCATTTGACCTGGGTCATATATACATGACACACAAAAGAACCTTTAAATACCTATTGATTTACTCATTTACTGGTTTATTTGGTCCTGTCTTATGGAAGAAATGAAACAAAACAGTAAAAGTAGCTAGGAAGCACTGGTGTCATAGGATTTTGCTATCTCTATCATCCCTGCTCTTGAACTACAAATCTTTGGAGACTGTATTGGGTATTGGGTGATATAAAATGTGGGTTTGTGTTCAGTGAGTCAGCTTACAGAGTAAGATGTCCCTCCTCCATATGAGATCTTTCTCCGTAAAAACATAAGGCCTGAAATTTTGTACTGAAGTGTCAGAATTTTCACATATCTGGATTACATATGAGGTGGATACACAGAAAGTACTTGAAATCTCAGGCTTACTTGGTGCCAAAAATCTGTACATTTGTGTGATTAATAAAATACCTAACTCCCTAAGTACCCCTATGGTCCTAAATAAAGGGAAAGCAAATTATAATAAAATGTCTATGGCTGAACGCCTTTAACTCATTAGATTTTTCTCCCCTGGATTCCTTCAACTTTTAGAAAAAGGTGCAAACAAGGATGAAAAGGTTCAATAGAAAAGTAGGGTACATCTTTGGATCAGTGCAGATTCAGAACAATCTCCTGACATTACATATCAGTAATTCTAGAAATTAAAAATGGAAATTCAATATTGTAATAGTAATAGCTTATTGAACATGTACTATGTGCCAGATGTTATGCTGAATCTTCTACATATATAATCTCATTTAATATTTTTAGCAGTCTTATGAGTTAGGTACTCTTATTAACGTCCTTTTGCAAATTGTGGCTCCAAAGCTCCTTAAAATCTTTAGTCATCTACTTAATAAGGCAGACAAATGGACAAATATATTATTCTGTAAAACGATCAAATGCAAAACAAAAATAAAAAGTTTTTCTGATTAACCATCATTAATCAGAACCTCCTAATCCCTGAGCATTCCTTTTTTTTTTTTTTTGAGATGCAGTTTCCCTCTTGTTACCCAGGCTGGAGTGCAATGGCGCGATCTCGGCTCACCGCAACCTCCGCCTCCTGGGTTCAGGCAATTCTCCTGCCTCAACCTCCTGAGTAGCTCGGATTACAGGCACGCGCCACCATGCCCAGCTACTTTTTTGTATTTTTAGTAGAGACGGGTTTTCACCATGTTGACCAGGATGGTCTCAATCTCTTGATCTCGTGATCCACCCACCTCGGCCTCCCAAAGTGCTGGGATTACAGGCTTGAGCCACCGCGCCCGGCAGCATTCCTTTTAATCAACATTTTACCATTCTGCAGTATAGTAAATCAAATGATGGAGATGCATTTTGAATCTAATCATTTTAAGTAATGTTGATATAATCAGCATCAGAACTTTTATGTATGGCATTAATTCTTGATTATCAGCTGTCAAGTCTTTACCCTAATTACAGGTGTTAAAAGAATGAGTCATCTACCCCCATTCAATTAAGGATTAATTCATTTATTTGGCACTTCAAGGTATGGTGCTAGGCAGCAAGAATACAATTGTGGGAGGGAGAGAGGGAGAAGTTTCCTTTTTAGAAAATCTTTCAAGTTTATAGGGGAAAAGTTTGTTTTAATTCACTCAGAATAATGTAATTCTCATAAACATGCATTTGTTTATTTTTGCCACAGCCTTAGGCATGTTATCACTCTTCTATACATATTATGAAACCAAGACTAAGAGAGACTACATGACTTGCCAAAAGCTATCAACTAGTAAAGGATAACTAGGATTTGAATCCTAGTCTGTTAAGATCTTTCCACTATGCCATTCTATCTTCCAGGGAACTTGTTTGGATCAGTATATTGCAGAAAGAATTTCCAAGAAAAGTTTTGGACTAGTATATTAATCATATTTGACTCTGGGACTAATCAGGTCCAAGATCAATCTTCATTTGTAAATAGAATAATTATCTAGTCGTCTTTTTAAATAGTCTTGGTCATGACCTCAATTTTTTTAGTACATAGCAATTGATGTTTGCTTCTTTAATTCTAATCATGGTAGGGATTTAATAGGACGTGTATATGATGCAGTGAACAGTTGACTTAAGATACAGAAGCAAGTTTTATTATTTCACTGTAGTTTCTCCCATGATGTAAGAAAGAATGTTTGACAAGTCCCAGAAGACATTTAATGGAAGTGATCCAAGTGGAGTCTGATTGCTGAAAAACAGTACTTGTTATTTGGGTTGAAAACATTAGCAAGAGGATACTCTTTATTAGAAATAATAATTTAATGTCATTTCATTAGAATCTTAGCATTCATTTTGTTGAAATTTGATTGACCTTTAGCTAACTGGATTTCAAGGTTTTTTTTTAATTGACAATTTCCAACATTACCTCAAGAATTGTACAGCTATGGGCCATAGAAAATTTGGGAGTTAAATAATGAGCTATATCAGGCCAACCTGATTTCCCCCCTTTGATAGGAATCCCCTGTTTGATAGAATAGAACCAATGCAGAAAGACTTACAGGAGATGTCTTAACTTTGAGCTTTAAAAAACTTTTGACTTCACGTTTCATGAAGTTTTAATTGAAACACTTAAAATTCCAGGTGCTACTGCCGGAGGAGTAAGAACTGTCTCTGCTCGCCCCTGATTGAACTGTGTAAGACTTGGAGAGTAGAAAATGCCTTTTGCCATTTTATATGGTGCAGCAGTGACCAGTAAAGTGATCATGCTTGTAATATTATTTGAAGTGAATGAGATTAACATTACCAAAATCTACGTCATAACTCCCCATCACTCCAGCTGCTAAATAGCCTCCTTGCAATGTCTATATATTTGTTTCCTTTTCTCATTTGCCATAGAGTTATGGTTTTCTTTTTTTAGAAACCTCTATATTACTGTTGGAAGTGACTTTGACACAGGATAGTCTCATGATTATGTCTGCCTCAGTTCAACATACCTTGTAATGAAAGAATGGAAAAATGTCAGGAGATAATCCAAGGAATACAAAGCCAAGCTTTTTACAAGGAACAGTGGGTCCAACCATAGCCATATTTAATGAGGGTCCTATCTCCTTAAGGGAGGAAGTAGAAGACAGTTGCTAGCTTCTGCCCAAAAAATGTTAAGTTGCCACAGAAACAGGAGGGATCTTAAAAATGACAGAGCCACTGTCTTATATTTTAATTCTGTACTTACCAAAAGGATTTGTAAAAATTACAGAAGACAACTGTCTTTAAGGAATTCACTCGTTATTTCTAGGCTCTTATGATTTAAAAGGTTTTCCACTAGTGGCTCACATAATAAAATTTAGAGATGATCCCAGTCCTTAATGGAATCTGGACTTTGGCTTTCTTTTTCTTCTTTAGGATTGAAACAGCTGCCCTTTGACCCAGCCAACAACAACGAGCCCCTGCAGTTTGGTAGTGCCAGCGGCCCTCTGGTCACAGAAGGCCTCATTGAGAATGGAGGGGAATCAAGCAAGAAAAGAAAGAGAACAAATACTCCTTCAGGTAAGCTAGGTGATAATGCACTGTCTTAAGTCAGTGCCAGAGTCAACAGTTTCCCAGAGCCTAGTATGTGGCAGGTCACATACTGTGCTAGGACATATTGTAAGAACTACAGAAATGAGAAAGAGTCCCCTGTCCTCATGGAACTCATTATGGGATTGAAGGAGGGAAAAAGCACATACACGAATCACCCTGATAATTAGATAGAGTATCATCAGCGTTGTGGTAAATGTGTTAAGGGAAAAAAACTAATGAGAGCACAAATGAAGAAGAGTTTAATTCTGCCTTAGGGATTATAGGACACTTCACGGCAGATGTGCCTTTTTTAGCTAATCCTTGAAGAATAGGTAGGCTTGAGACAAGAGATGAGTAAAGAGCATCAATTTAGGTAGAAGGAATTGCATGAGTGAATGGCTTCACTGTGAGTTTGTCTTTGTATGTATAAGTGGCAGGCCACTCTCGCTTTTACTTCTAATACAGATAACTACATATATTTGCGTCGCCCCACCTCCATCCCATTCCCCTCAATACACACTATGCCTACATGCTTTATGCCCTTATTATTATCTTAGAACAGTTGGCAAACAGATTCTTCTAAACCTTCTGTAACAGCCCAACTGAATTTTTAGCCTCCCTTGCAATTTCTCCTACCCCAATCCCTCATGTCCCATTAGCCTATTCTCATCTTCATTTTCTTTTCCAAAAGGAGGAAAGAAATAATAGGAAGCCATATCTTAACTGATCATTTGATATTTTATAATTTTATCTCTTTGTTGCATGGTTAGTTATTCATTTGGAGGTAGAATCCATAATGTATGGAAACTGATCCAAGATTTGGGGATGGGCGTAACAGACATGTTCATCGTTTTTTCGTTTGTTTTTCTTTTTTAACTATTTTTACTTTCAGCTTATGAAATGGAGGATGTTTACAAACATATCATATCTGACTCTTAGATCATACATATCTGCTTATAAATCAAGATATTTGTTAAATACGAGTTTGGAAAATGAAAATACAATAAAACATTAGTTATATGGAGCCCTCAAGAAATCAGTGATTCTTACAGACCTTTGTTTTCTGGAGCATGGAAAGGCATGATGTATAGCCAAGGAACTGGCCTGAGTGCTAATCGTGGCTTTGTCTCTTTCTGTGGCCTGGAGTTACTTGCTTAACCTCTCTGAGTTTCACTTTCTTCAACTGTAAAGCAAAAGTGATACCAAAGCCTGTGTCTCAGGATTTGTTATGACAATTAATTGAAATGATGTGGGTAAAGCACTTAGCGTGGTGTCTGCATACCATAATCACTTAGTAAATGTTGCTATTGTTTTCTTAGTAGTATTATGTGATATAATAAATTTCATGTTTTAAATCATCAACGTATTTCACATTTTTAGGTTAAGCATTATGAGTATAAATCATATGTGTGTATATATAAACTCATCTGTCTTTTAAAGACATGTATTTGACATAATTTAAACTTTGCTTGATTATTTATGGGCATAATTCCAGTCATTAATTATTGTACTGCACTCTAATACTCTTAAATTTTTAAGAGTTTACTAAAGAGTATAGGTTTTTTACCTCTACACTAAATTGTTCTAGACTGCTGTGGTCTTTTAGTTATTACATCTACATTTTACACATGCCCTGAGCGCCTCCTTCCTGCAGCCTACAGTCACTTTTTATTCTTCTCCATGTCCCTTTATATAGCAGCCCTTTTTCTCCTACTGAATTAGGAACTTAAAAACCCAGCCAGCTCTCCAAGCTGATGTGTCAGATTAGTACGAGTAAAAGTTAAATCAGCTCTAAGTGGAACCTGCCACGGATAGAGTGCACGGGATTTAGGGCATCAACTTTAAGACATCTCTTTTAGCTCTAGACCTTTGTGATCACCTACTAGTTTTTCCATTATATTCATGTTAAGTGATGTGCAAGTTTAGGGTAATACCTCCTGAACTGCAATTAACTCATGAGGGTGGGGAAAGTGAGTATGTATTAATCTGAATTGGGAATTAACTTTAAAGAATTACAGTTTTATTTCTAATGAGCATATTCAGTGAGAGCAAAGTAACTTGCAGATATAGGATTTTAACAGTAGATTATGCTAATCTATAATTAGCAGAACAATTTGCATTCAAATAATGAATATGCTGAAGTTCTTAAAAAACAGTATGTTCTTTAAAATAGGTGAAATAAGCCCTTGCCAGGCTAAATTAGCTCCCTTGAAATCTTGTTCACACTATTTGCTTAGAGGACCTTTTCTTTGTTAGTAGGACAAAGGTGACTTCAACCCAGGTTAAATTACCACAAATTCTAAATTAGTGTAGTCCAAATTAATGAGATTTTACTATACAAGGAGTCTCTTATAATTGTTCAGCAGCAGTCTTGTGATATTGTAAATAATCAGATAGCTTTATAATATTATTTTCTTCCTCTGCAGTACTAGACAAAAGGAAAAGGGAAGATGTTTCATGAGCAGCAACTTCCTTCTTCCTTTGTTATTGCCTGCACTGTGGCAGAGGAAAGATATGGTTGGAAGTTCTCAAAGGAGCTACCAGCCATTTTATTTCCAAACTACATGTCCAGTCATTGCATCACTCGGCCCTGCAACTCCACTGAGTTAAAGCCATCTCTCTCCCTCTCCTTCACTGCAAATGAAGGAGGGATATTTCCTTGCAGCTCCAGTTCCACACTACACATTTTTTTCCTTCCTTTCCTGTCCCTCCTTACCTCTCCCATTTTCTACAAACTGTCTCTTTCCTTTTGTACTAAAACTGATTTCTTAAAAGTCACATGTGACCTTCAGATTGTCAAAGTCAGTGGCCTTTAGGCAGGTCACAATCACCTTGAACTCTGTTTCATTTGGTGCTATTAACAATGCTCCCTTCTTTGAATTTTCTCTACTTTTGCTCTCCTTGGTAATACACTTTGCAGTTTCTTCTTCCTTTTCTGCCGACTTCAAGTCTTATTTCTCATTTTCTTCAACCCTCAACTTTGAGTATGCTATTATCCACATTTCTAGATAAAGAAATAAAGGATAAACTTACCAAAACTTGAATGTCTAGCAAGTGGTTTAGCCAGGCCTCTAACTCCAAAGTCTATTTCTAACTACAATGGTGTAGTTACTGTGTCTTTAGTTATTAGGAATCTAGAACCACTACTAAAATGTATGTTAAACATTTGTGGCAGACTAGGGAAAGCTGTGTTTGTATGAAAATAAATAGGTAAGAATAAGAGGAGCAGGCCTTGGATATGATAGTCTTGAGGATTCCTTCAAACTCAGATTTCATGGTTCCTCTTTTCAGCTTTCTGCTGCTCCCCAAAACAAGTCTTCTATTTCAGCCACATTGATCCACTACCTGAAATATATTGGTCATTAAATTCATAGGAATCACTTGACACTGATTGTGGACCACCTTGAACTATTGCTTATGAGTTTGTACATATATGTCTTAGCTTTTCAACTCAGTTACAACTCCCCTGTTGGAAGGGCCCCTAACTCTCTTAGCAGAGATAAGATATCTTACACAAAATAGATGCTCAAGAAATATTTGTTGCTTGATCACATATTTGATTGAATAATTGCTTTCTCTATGCCTTTTCTCTATGTCTCTATTATTTTCTTGTCATTTTCAGGGTAGAGCTTTGCACAAAATTGTGCCTTTGTAGCTGATATTGACCAACTGATAGCTTCACTTGTCCCTAAAGACTACTCAGACATTTGTGAGATTACACCCTTAGAGCAGGCACAAATCAAATCTGGGTGCTTGTGGAAAAAAAAAATACCTGGCCCTAATGAAATCCTTGCCTTATTACTGTGAAAAAAAAAAAAAAAAAAAAATACCTGGCCCTAATGGAATCCTTGTCTTATTATAGCTGAGATTTCTTAAGTGCCCAAGGGAAACTGATAGGCAGAGTTTAAGTGTCCTGCCTCAACTATGAAGTAGGCCAATAATCAGGATTAGACATTACTGCCATATTTGACCACATAATCTTTTTTTGTGGATATGGTTGTTTTGTAGCTTTTATAAGATGAGCTCAGAATTCTTCAGAGTGTGTTTCCTCTTAAATTTTACCTTTTCCACATGGAAGTGTTTTCTTGGTGATGCTGTAGCTGTACAAATTATCTATGATGGCAGCAAATCCATTTATTCAGATGGTACTCTAAAGCAAAAGAGTAAAAGATTGTTAAAATCCATGTAAAATCACAATGCCAAGTTCTTTTCCCAAAGATGCCAACTGCCTCCTGGTTTGAGAGCCATCTGGATTTGTAGAAGCAGAAATACCAACTCTTTCATCAAATACCTCCACTAAAGTGGAAAGCACCATGAGTCAACAAGGCCAACTGGATGATGACTAAAGTTGAATGCATTGTTTTCAGCAACATCATGGTACAGTAATATTCAAAGAAGGTGTCAGCTCTCTGAAAGAGAAGGCAACTACCCAGGAATAGTTATGATACCAAAGGGAGCATCCAGGTGTGGGCAGAGTCCTATTTCCATTGTCTTTTCTCTATAGGCCTGTGTTGAAAGATAGATTTGTGCTTAAATGTGTCATGCCCAGTACTAAGTAATATTGCCAAAGTTCATGTGAATAATGAATGACTCAGTGTGAAAAGAGGGATCTTCAGCCAGTTTTCATTTGCAATAATGATTTAATCACAAAAGTTCAAGATCTCCAGAAAGACCCTTCAAAATCAATAATAATTTGTATTGGTATGGTGATTCTTTCTCTTATTTATTCTCATACTCATTGTATTTTACACATGATATGCTAATCACTAGAGAGGAAAAGTAATTTTGTCTAAGGTAGACTAGCATCACCAGGAGTGTTATAATTAGATAAGGACCTCCAGAGAGTATCCAGTCTTCATCATAGACCTCCCAACTCCATTCTCAGGTTTCCTTTAGAATTTCTGGAAATCAAAATGGTACTTGACAATATAAAGACAGTGAACAATTACAGCACTGCAAGACTAGATTAATAGGACAAAGTGGGCCTG